ATCTAAAAAGCAAAATGAATACTTTAGTACCCAGGGTATCAAAAAAGTGTCCCAGAACTCCCTTTTTCACCCTACTATAGATATTAGAAAAAACAAAGGCTTCAACTGATTAAAAAACAAATTAAGAAAGCAGGTTTCAATATGCAGCTTGTTAAGCCAATGGTTGGCCATTCAAGCTTAGAAAAGGCACAACCAGGCCTGTTAGAAACTATTGTCCAAATTGTTTCTTCGGATGGACAGGCTAATTATAGAAGACATTCAGAAATAGTACGATCTATTAAAACTTTAGATCAGCTTCAAGAAGTGCTAACAAATATGAATTATAAATTGTCACGCTCTGCAACATACTTTAGGCTCATTTCAAAATGGCATAATACTAATGAGGGAAGATGGCATGTCAAAACTGTGCCAGTAAAGCTTTTAAAGTTACAAAATACGGCAAGAAGAAGTCATATTGATACCCGTTTTTGTGCTGCCTTAATAAGAAACCTAAAAGAAATAGTATCATTATTGGGTCCAAAGTGTGCTTTAGTAATATCTCAGGATGACAAAGCACAAATACCTCTTGGTTTAGCCGCGGCCAACAAGCAAGGTATTATAATCTAAAATAGAAAAAATTATAATTTAAAATATAATAAATAAAAAATAGAATCACTAATAATAAATAATCTTGTTTATATAGCGCCAATTCTTATGAGGCTGGAATATCGAATAGAGCTTCTGGATCATGACTGGGTTGTTGCTGAAAAGCACAAGCTGATTCTATCAGTTTATGCAATATTAGATATACAAGAGGGTAAATATGGGCATACTGATGCGGTAACATATTCGGGCCCAACGTTTATAAGAATCCACAGTGGTAAGCATGATAGTAGTACTGCATATTCTCATAGAAAAAATTTTGATGATCTTATGAGTAAGGAGCAATTGCACAACTAAACCTAAACCTGTAGTAGTGATGCTAAGCGATGGTGGTCCCAACGAGAACCCTCGATACAGAAAGACAATTCAAATGATGATTGAACATTTTGACAAATATAACCTTGATACAATCATTGTGGCATACTTCGCGCCACACCAAAGTGCATCAAATCCAGTTGAAAGGCGAATGGCGCCTCTAAGTCATGACTTAGCTGGTGTTATACTCCCACACGATACGTTTGAAACTTATTTAGATTCACAGTTAAAAACAAATGATGATGAATTAGAGAAACGTAACTTTAAAGCAGCTGGAGATGTTTTAACATCAATATGAGAAAATACAATTATAGATAGCTATCTGGTTCTTGTTAAATATATAGATCCTTCTGAAGAATATCACTACCCAAGTAAAAAGTCGGAAAGTTGGATAGAAAAGTATGTAATAACCTGTTGTTATATGACTCAGGTCACAAAATGTGACAATCGAAGCTGTTGCAGGCTCTTTCGGAGTAAATTCTGCCAAATTTTACTGAATCACTTTTTCTCCTCACCAATTATGGTCCAACAAAAGCCTAATGGTATTTGCGTGGCAACCATGAATGTATCTGATGATACAATTTACTATTTCAATTTTCTTTTATCTACATTAATGGAAGGAAAATTAATTCCTCCGGATATGAATCTATGGTGCTTCCTTTTTGATTGGTACTGCCTAACTATCAACAAATCAATTAACGAGTATATTTGTCTCTATTGTAATCGGTACTTTGCTTTAAAAAGAAACTTGAAATACCATATTCGAAAATGTTTATATAAGAAGTCTAACTTATCTGTAAAGCCTTCTTCAAATATTCAAGATTTCCAAGTAAGTAATGATACATTCGTTCACAACCATCGACAAGGTGAATTCTTGATCAGTAACGAAGGTAATGAGGCTATGTGAGTAGAAGAATCATCAGTGCCCAATTGTATATCGGAAACCTATTATCAAAAAATACAGGTTCAAGAAAAGTTAGTTGCAGATAAGGTTTTAATAGTTAACTGGGATATTTGGAAACAATATGAATAGACAAATGAATGAATGTATTTAATTCTACTTACGTACATATATTAAATTTATTACCTAATTGAGAAAAGTTATAAATACAATACATTTATATAGCTTCATAAATGTAATAATACTATATATCACATGTTACTTAATGTAAAATCGCTTGGATGCATAGCTGATATATACTATGTAAATATACTAAAAATTCTATATAAGTTATACGTATACTTTATTTTATATCTATTCCATATAGATAGCGAGCTTCCCCAAAAATACTTTATTTTTATTACAGTATTAGTAGTATATTTAATTATGATCTATCATATACGTATAAAAAATATTTACTAAAAGTGAGATTTAATGCATAGAAAAGATTAACAAATAAATTCTTCATTAAAAAAAACTTCTTGCTATGTATTTCTCTAAAGACCATTTATTATCAGCCATCAAGTCAGCAAAAAAATCTGAAGAAAATGAAAATAAAAAAAAATCACACAAGGCTATGTATGATCACTATTGCTAATATATCAGTTTTACTGGTAAAGTCACGATCTGTTTCAATTAAGTAAATATATATTGCATATCAGGTATATACAATCAGACCTCTCTAAATGCATATTTCCTAAATGCATGGCCTTATTTGGCCCAACTCATATGACACTTATAAATTTTTACCTTCTAAATGCATGATTTTTTTTGCCGCCCATGGCTATGCATTTAGAGAGGCCTAACTTGACTGTACTAGATTGACTAGTATTGCTTAATACCGTTGTATTTCATATGATACATAGGTATGATAATTCTCCAAGTTCATTTGTTGATTAAAACTTGAATATGCAATGTGATAAAAGTATAGATGAGCTAACGAGTGAAGTATTAAAATTGTAAATACTGTATGAGCTTAAACAAGGCCAGGTAAAGAAAGGCCGAGGATAATAGAAAAAAAAATCAATGAAACACCACTCTGAAATATAGTATTAAAAAAATATAGTATTTGATTTAAAACGAAGCTGAATGAGGTAAGAGCTATAATTTTATACATACACGCTTATTTTATACACTATAAACAGTTGATTTTGGGTATAACCAACAAGATTTTTAAATAAGTCAATAACGATAAAGTCGATTATAAATATTCTTAGCTGTTATTGTGCCACTTACCACAATATTAGTTAAAACTTGGCCACATAATCATATATATAGAATATTTTGCCTTATTCAAAAATAATTAGAGTTTGTGGATTCAACATTATACAAAATGTTCAAGATTAGAATAGCTACTCAAGCCCAGAACGAACACCTACAAAGCTACATCAGCAAAAATAAATAGGCGTAAACCTCCGCAAGTTTTTACGCGAGCGTAAACTTACGAAAATTTACGAT